CGTGCCCGAGGTGAGCGACCTGCGCGCGCTCGTGGAGGACCCCCGGCTGAACCTCAAGGTCATCCAGCTGGTCCGGGACCCGCGCGGCATCCTGGCGTCGCGCAGCGAGACCTTCCGCGACACCTACCGGCTGTGGCGCCTGTGGTACGGCACCGGGCGCAAGCCCTACAACCTGGACGTCACGCAGCTGACCACCGTGTGCGAGGACTTCGCCAACTCCGTGTCCACCGGCCTCACGCGGCCCGCCTGGCTCAAGGGCAAGTACATGCTGGTGCGCTACGAGGACCTGGCCCGCAACCCCATGAAGAAGACCGAGGAGATCTACGGGTTCCTGGGCATCCCCCTGGACGGCCACGTGGCCCGCTGGATCCAGAACACCGCGCGCGGCGCCCCCCCCCTGGGCAAGCACAAGTACGGCACCGTGCGGAACTCGGCCGCCACGGCCGAGAAGTGGCGCTTCCGCCTCTCCTACGACATGGTGGCCTTTGCGCAGAACGCCTGCCAGCAGGTGCTGGCTCAGCTCGGGTACAAGATGGCCACCTCGGAGGAGGAGCTGAAGAACCCCTCGGTCAGCCTGGTGGAGGAGCGGGACTTTCGCCCTTTCTCCTGACGCCGGCCCGGGCGGGGGCGGGGGCGAGCACACGACGCCGGGTTCGGTGAAAGCGGACCGGACCGTTTTAACTGTTGCCTTATTCCCCCTCCCTCTCCCGCCCGTCTCAGCGTCCTTCCCGCCCCCCCACTCCCTCTGGCCTCTTTTGGTCTCTGGAATTTGCACTATGTCTTGGACGGGAATCCCCGGGGGCAGAGGGCTCCTGTAGTGGGGGCCGGCCCCGCCCCGCCCCACTCAGACACACGGATGTGGGGTCTCCACGTGGACGGTGACAATGTTTACAAGCACCACACCTACACCTTCACACACGCACAGGGCCCGGGGCCCCGTGAGGAGAGGCGCCCCAGGCTGTCGGGATGGATGAGTGGTCTGGCTGTGTGGTCGGGGCATGGTAGTTTTTGCACTGTCTTATACAAGGTAAGAGGAGGAGAGCAAAAGGACCGCTTCTCTAGTTTCTGGGAGTGGTGTCCTTCCCTTCTGCATCCCTGCTTCCTGCCCTTGAAGTCCCCTTCCTCCCGTAGAGCAGAGAAACGGCTCCCTCCCGCCCACCCCTGCCTGGCGTGAGCAGGTTTTTACTGTGAGGTGAACGTGGGCCTTGTTTACTTTTTCCAGTCTGTGGCGATGCTGTCTGTCTGTCTGAGTCTTGTGGCCGCCCCTGGACCGGTGATGACTGAGGATTCTTATGAATTTCTGATTGATCTTGGGGTCCGTCTGTGATATTTCTTTGTGCCAAAAAGAAAAAAAAAAAAAAAGAGTGGATCAGTTTGCTAAATGAACGTTGAAATGCTTTATCTGTGTTTTCTGTAAATAAAAGAGTGCAATGATCTCTGGATGTGACTGTGGGACCTTCTGAACGGGCACAGGCGGGCACTGGTGGGGTCTGGCTGCTCCTGGCTTCAGAGAGGAGAGGAATAGGGAAGCGGAGGTGGGAGTTAAATGACAAGCCTGCCTTTCAGAACTCTTGTCATCCTCGAGTTCAGGGTTTCATTTCCCTCCAGTCAGTCGATACCACCTTATAGCCAGGGGTGACGGTCAAGGTTTTCAGCAAGTGCTTTGGCTTGCTGAATCTGGCCGGAGGGAAGAAGGAGATCCTCGGACCCCTTTGTGTGGCAGCTGCTACCCATCCAGTTGGTGGATCTGGGGCCAGGGTAGCTGGGGTGGGGTGTGGGGAGGTGGGGTGAGGGAGACGCTCAGCGGGTGGGGAGGCTCAGGACAGTGGCTGCTTTATCAACTGGCTTGGAAATATTTTACTATTTTAACAGTCGGGAAAAGTTGACTGGTGAGCTATCTGCTATGCTTACTTTTCTCCCATCCTTGGCAGTCTAGTAGGTTCCTTCAAGCAGCTTCCCCAGCTCTTATTCCAGAAAACAGTGAGTCCCTGGGGTGGCTGGAGGCCACAGCTCTGTTGTCCGGAGACAATGGAATGCCTGGTGATTAGGCAGTCCCAGCAGTCCCGACCAGTTGGAAGAAGGGCTTCCTGAGGAAACTTGGTTCTGGGCTTTTTTGTATGAGTTAGGAAGATATGGATTTGGCAGCTATAACACCTGCCTTAACTAATAGCAGCTTCATCGAGACAGGCTATTTTCTTTAAAAATATTTTTATTGTAAAATACACATAATATTAAATTTATCGTCTTTATTTTTTAAAGTGTATAGCTCATTAAATACATTCATAACGTGGTGCCCTGTCACTTGTCTCTGTAACTGTTTTCATCTTATAAAACCAAAACTCTCTACCCATTAAACAATGACTCCCCATTCCCCCTCCCCCAGCTCCTGACAAGCTCCTTCTGCTTTGCGTCTCTGTGAATGTGATTACTCTAGGAGCTGCATGTAAGTGGAATCGTGCAGGATCGGTCCTTTTATGACTGGCTCATTTCACTTAGCTCGATGTCCTCAGGTTCATTTATGTTGTAGCATAGGTCAGAATTTCCTTCCTTTTAAAGGCTGGATAATAGCCCATTGTATGGATATACTGCGTTTTGCTAAGTCATTCATCCCTCAGCAGGCACTTGGGTTGCTTCCCTGTTTTAGCTATTGTGAATAATCTGCTGTAAACGTGAGTGTACAGATATCTCTTGAGACCCTGCTTTTAATTCTTCGGGTATATACCCAGGAGTGGAAGTGCTGGATCATATAACCATTCTATTTTTAATTTTTTTGAGGAATTGCTGTACTGTTTTCCATGGTGATTGTACCATTTTACATTCCTTCCAATAGCGCGCAAAAGTTTCGAGTTCTTCACATGTTCACCAACGCTTGTTATTTTCTTTTCCTAATGGATGTGAGGTGGTTAGATAGGTTATTTTCTTTCATGCTCATATAATAGGCATATGCCATTTAGATCTAGTGTGGTAGCTCCCAGGTTGTGAGCTCTTGGGGTCTCCCAGCTCCAATATAAAGCCACCCACCCTGAGAGGAGAAACTCCTAGCTCGGGGACAATCCAAGGCAGGACAATCTGAGAGTGAAGAGAAGGGAGCTCCTGGGGACACAAGTGTCACAACACCACTTACTGTGAAAAAAACAGGATCAGCCAGCCGTCTCCCGGGTGCAAGAACAGCCTTCATGTGCTGAAGAGTCAACAAAGGATACTGAGTGAGGCTTACCTGGACACCGGTGCCATGAAAGCAACCGGTTCAGTTGACTTTCTCACCGTGGGCTAGAGAAACAGCTCCTAGGAACCAGGGGCTGAGAAGAGCCCCAGGCCCTGCCCACCGGTCTTGACAGAGACTTTTCCAAGCCAGCTACCTGGTCTTGAAGAATGATATAAATCATACTGTCCCCCTTTTGCAGGAGAGAAACCTGCCTCTCAGGGAGATCAGCTTTGACCACCTTAACAGTCATGGCCACCAAGATAAAGACCACATTTCCCAGGCTCCCTTGCAGCTACATATGGCCACATGACCAAGTTCTAGCCAATGAGACATGAATGAAAGTGATGTCTATAACTTGTGGGTTGTGCTCACACAATGGCAGAGATGTGCTCTCCTTTCTGTTTTATTCTCCTCACTGCTTGGCAAGCCATCTTGCACCACATAACCAAAGGCAATACCTTTGAAAGGTGGAGCAGCAACAACATGAAAAGAGCCAGCTTCCCCAATGGTTGACTTTCTCACCATGGGCTAGAGAAACAGCTCCTAGGAACCAGGGGTTGAGAAGAGCACACAACCTGGGAGCCGTCCAGGTAAGCCTCACTCAGTGCCCTTTGTTGGCTGTTCTAGCACCCAGGGAAGGCTTGCTCCAATGGAGGAGACAGCTGGCTGATCCTGTTTTTGTTACAGTAAGTGGTCTTGTGGCACTTGTGTCCCAAGGAGCTCCCTTCTCTTCACTCTCAGACTGCCCTGCCTTGGATTGTCCCTGAGCTAGGGGTTTCTCCTCTCGGGGTGGGAGGCTTTATGTGGGAACTGGGAGATACTGGTGATCCTGGTCTAGTTAGAAATAACCCTTCCCCTCAACTGACACATGGAAGACTTTAATAAGGCTGACTGGGGCTTTCAGAGGAAATTCCTGTTTAGTGATGAAATTATTAATTAATTCATTTATTCATTCAAGTATGGGTAGGCACTGGAGCTATAGGCATTCCACTGAGAAACACAGTCTAAGAGGAGGTAAACAGGCAAAAATATGGTTAGAGCGTGGCTGAAGCGCTATACTCATAGGCAATGTGTCATTTGGGCAGGGCTGGGCCCTGTACCATCTTGGTCCTGGAAATCACAGGCTACTATAATGAGACAGAAGCTTGTTCCCTCGGCCTCATGGTCTCATTTATGTGTCTCGGATTTGGGGTTTAGAGAAGTCAGCTAGGGCTTCTCTAAGGTGGTAGTGGCTGAACTGAGTGCTGGGGAGGTAGGAACTGGCCCTGTGGAAAAGGGTGAGGAGATTGTTTCCAGCTGCAGGAGAGGCAGTACAAGAGCACAGAGGGGGAAGGCCTGGGCACTTACAGCTGTGCAGACTGTGGCAGGGATGTGGGGTGGACCACGCACAAGCTTCTGTCCTCAGCTCTTCAGGTTGGAAAGCTTGACAGTTCACCAAGGGCATTTCAGCCTGCACGGGATTTATGTATGATGACCAAACCCACAAGACAGAATCAGAAACCAGAGGGCTTGCTTGCTTTTAGGATAAAGACCATGTTCTCCCAGCGCTCTTCGAAGCCCTGCCTGCCCTGCACCCTGTCGCCTCCTCTTTCATCCCGGGCCAGGCTTCCCTCTGCTCTCGCTCTCCAGCTTTCTGTCAATTCTGTGAACACACAGTGGTAGAGTGTTGCTGTTACAGCCCCCAACTTGCCCACATCTCCCTGTAACCACTTGACTGGATGGTGTCTACCCATGCTGACTCTGAGCTTAGCCATGTGGCTTGCTTTGATCAACAGGACAATAGCAAGTGCAGAGATGTGAAAAGTGCTCAAGCCCCAGAGCTTGTCTTTTCTTGTTGCCTCCTGGAAGCCTCCAGCTGCCATGGGTAGGAAGCCCAAGGAAGCTCGCTGGAGAAGAAAAGACCACAAGGTGAAGAACCAAGGAGCCCCAGCCAATGGCCAGCCAGTTCTTTACTGACTTGTCAACCGATGAAGCTGCACAAATGAGCCCAGTCGAGATCAGTTACAGGCTGGCCCAGATGGTTAGAGCCGTCTGGCTGAGCCCAGCCAAATGTATGCCCTGTAATACTGTGGGTAAAAGAAGATGGGTACTGTTTTAAGCTACTAAGTTTTGGAGTGACTTGTCATGTAACAAAAGCTAGCTGGTACATGTGTCATTCTCTGTCCCACTGGGTTTTTGCTTTTCTCCTCTTTACCTAGTTAGGGTCTACTCATTCTTTGGATCTCAGCGTAATTATCAACACTTCCTTGGTTTTACAAGATTAGTTCAGTTACCCTGATGCTAGACCCTTATAGAGCTGATTATATATCTTATGCATCTGGACTGCAGGCCCTTACAGCACCGTGTATATCTCTTTTATAGTGCTTGCCACAGTTATAATCACACTTTTTATCACCGGACCTCGCACACAATAGGTGTCCAATAAACACTGGTTGAATGAATAAAATAATGAGTAAAACAAGTGCTCCCCATCTGAGAAAAGAGCTTGCTTGTTCAGGGCTGTCACTTGGGAGCGGGCAAGGTCTCTAAGGATTCGGAATGAGACGTGAACCAGCCACTGCCCTCACAGGCAGTTATAGGAGGTTGAGTTGAGTTTTATTCCAAGAATCCTGCCCCACTAGTCAGCAACTTTAACTCTACAGACCAACGTTGGCACTCCTGTTTCTTTGTCACGATGCCGTCACCTGCCTTGCCACTTGTGACAGTTTCCAAGGCTAACTAACACTCCAAAGGAAAATAACAGCAAACAAACACATGTATAGAATTTTACAGTTTACAGAGCGCACTTCCCCCTCCTGTTAGTCACACCTCTGCAGCGGCCGCTTCCTGCTGACCTCTTTCTAGCCACGTAGGCAGGACTGGCCCCCGCCCCCACCTCTTCTGTGTGCCCTGTCTTGATGGCTTAGGTCCTGCAGAGTAACTTCCTGGTCTTGTTCCCAGACTCAGGGCCCCCCTCACCCTGTGGATCTAGGGCTATGTCCCGTCATTTTTCTCCATTGCAGACTTCCTTTGTTTGTGTGTTCCCACCTGCTTGCCCTTGTTCCTCTCCTTGCCAGTAGCAAACACTCTGATCTCCCAGCCTCACTTCCCTGGGATTCTGGGGTGCTCGCTGGGCCCTACTTCCTGTCATCCTAGAGGGTATTGTCCAGGAGCAAACCTGCCTTTCCTGGACCATCCCCTCCTGAGGAAAACCCCTTGCTGGGGAAGGGTTTTTCTCCCTGCTGGAATGCCTTTC